AATTGATCCTATCAAGCCAAAATGAGGTTGCAGGGACAGTAAGACAAGAAAGGAGAGATCAGGGGCTCCCGGCTGGCTCAGTCGGTTAAGCGTCCTACTTCAGTTCAGGTCATGATCTCACAGTCCGTGGGTTTGAGCCCCGCGTCGGATTCTGTGTCTCCCTCTCTCTCTGCCTCTCCCCACTCCCCCAACCAAAAAAAAAAAAAAAAAAACTAAACATCAAAAACTTAAAAAAAGAAAAAGAGCAGATGAAGAGTGCTTTAGTAAGCTAGTTACTGCTCCGGTCACCTGCAACTCGAGTCTCTAAGGAGACCCTCTGAGGAACCATGTAGAATGGTTTCAGAAATGAATGTAGAATGCATTTCAGAAATGAATCAATCTTCTGACTGATAGGAGGCTGGGGACATGATCCACTATCTCCTCTCCCATTAGATCAGGGCTGCCCCTGGGGGCAGTAAGTCCCTACTCTCTCCTGCCGATTCAGGATCCTGCCTACCTGCACAGGCTTTTGAGGTGAGACAACAGAAGTGACCGCTGGCTCACTCCAGACCCCAGAGCTGCCGCTGAGGTCATAGATGGGCTGAGGGGATGGGGCATAAGACACTAACAGCATCTCCACAAGGGTTTTGTGCGGGAGAGTGGAAATATGACGGGCTGAAGGCATCATGAAGAACAAAGAGTCAAACTTTTTATTCTTGTCCTACAGGAGATAAGGGCATTTGGAGAAAGGGAAAGAGAAGAAGTATCTTGAGGAGGGAAGGAGAAAAGAAGAGGAGCCAAGCTTTCTGCGAGATAGGCGGTTTGGGGAAAAGCACTGTGTGAAGAGGTTGAGGATTTCAGGCAATCTCTGCACAAGAGAGTTCCAAGGGCCCAGGGAGATAGGTCTAAAAAGGAACAACAGCGTCGGGCAGATGTCAGCTCGGTATGGGGAGGCAAGCCAGAATGAACGGTTACAGCCCTGCATGCCCACTCAGAAGTGGCCTTGAGAGAGAGTAGTGAGGGGAAATCCTCCCCAAAAGCAGAACTTCTGGCACCATCCATGGTCACCCACTTCATGTGGAAAGAGAAGTGGCCTGCTTCTAGAATATATAGAGATTCGTGGACAGTGATGAATGGCTTACTTTATTGGTCAGGGGCCTAGAACGAGGAAGATTAGAAGCTTAGGGGCAAGGGAGGATGAAGAAGACACGTGGCTATGGACCTCTGGAATCATAAAATGTGAAGGCCATTGTGTTATAGAACCACCTACCAGAAAACATCCATCACGGAAGAGGCACTATCACACAAAGTGGAAGAAAATGACTCGGCCAGCTAGTGTCAACTAGCCTCTGCCCTTGGCCATCCCAAAGCAAGGACAGGGGCAGTTATAAATGTAGCCGTGGTAGCAGTGGTGGAGGCTATACCTAGGTACAACGGTGAGGGCTCTCCCTCGCCAAGGCTGATCTAGATACTCTTGCTGCTGAAACAGTCCAATGCTGAGCCTCCTATTTGGGACCCTCTCTAGAGGAAATGAATGAGTCACTTCTTGGCAAGTTAATTACATTGGATCCTCTCCAAACGAAACCTGGAAAGGACTTGACTAATTTCATAGGAACTGATACATATTCTGGGTGTGGATTTGACTTTCTTGCCTGCAAAGCCCACTGGTTCAAGAGTTCACATATTGTCAGATCCATCACATTAGATTCTGTGTAGCACCACTAAGGACCATAGGACCTACTTAATAACAAAGGTACATGGACATGTTACCACAGGATCCATTGATGCTATCATATACGATGCCCATCCTGAAGCTACTAGCTGATGGATCCATGGAAAAGCTTTTTGAAGATATAACAAATGTATTGACTCAGAGGTGACACCCAGCCTGGGGCACTGTCCTTCAGGCTGTGCTATCATACATTTTAAGTCAATGACTGTAATATGGGACTTTGTCCCCGGGAGGTAGAATCCATGCATCCAGGAACGAAGGGTTGGGAGTAGGAGTATTCATGCTGACCATTACTCCCAGTGAATCATTCAGGAAATTCATGCTTGCTGTCTCCATAATTCTAGACTCTGCGTTTCTAGAGGCCATGGTTTCCAGAAGCACAATGCTTCCATCATGGTACCCAGCAAGAGCGCTATTAAACTAAGCTGTACCTGCCCCCTACCATGGCCAAGAGACCAGGAGCCAAAAAAAAAAAAAAAAAAAGAAAAAAAGGATTCTCTTGGGGAGCCTGGCTGGCTCGGTCAGTACATGTGACTCTTGATCTCAGGGTTGTGAGTTCAAGCCCCACATCGGGCAAAGAGCTTACTTTAAAGGAAAAAAAAAATGACTCGCTCTTCCAGCATAAAGAATCTCTCTTTATCATCAGAGCTGCAGGGAACAGGGAGAATATATACAAAATGCAGGGGTTCACAGCCTGAAAAGGCCAGGCGACCAGACTCTCGGGGCTCAGATTCCTCAAGCTAAGTCTTCTCCTAGGTTAGCAGAAGTACTAGCCGAGGCTGGGGGCAATCCAGAATGGGTAACAAAGGAGGGAGATGACTGCCAGATGGGGCCCCAGAATGGTGGTATAGTGGGCCCACAATTTGTCCCACTAACCTTCCATTTATAAGCTTCTCCTGGGAAAGAGATCAAGCAAGGTCCTGAAATGAGTGTTGTAAGAGAGGCTGAAATTGTTATACGGCAGAGGGTGAACCGTGTCGTGCCATGTGGTGCTGCCCAGCCTTCCCCTTGAGGACTGCTCACTCCCCCCACCTGCTGGCATTGTATCCCCTGGGGGCTCTCCACAGAGCTCTTCCATGGGCATTGTCCTCAGCAGAAGCAGCTGCCTTGGCCAAGTTCTTACCTCCTTTCTGGGAAGAGTTCACATCCAAGACTAGATGATGGGCCTGGTGCCTCAATTCAGGAGCATCCTGAAAGGTCGTCCCAGCCCGAGAACTCCCCGTGGCATTGGCCAGGCTCTCTGCTGCTACCTTGACTAGTGTCCCTTCCCCCCTCAGTCCCCTAATTCTGCTTCCTTCCCTTCCAGATGCTGTTCCTGTGTCCCCTCAGTGGGCCTCCTGCACACAAATCTCCGTCTCAAACTTTGTTTCCCAGAGAGCCCCAATGATGACGGTGCCTATTCAGAGATAAGAAGGTAACCACGAGAAGAAAACAGTTCACAAAGTTAAAAGTGGTTTTCTCTAGGGAGAGGAGTAGGGCTGAGGTGAGGTGGGGCAGGAGGCTCTCATCATTTCCCCTTTTGTGCCCTTCATTCTTTTTAACATGTGCATGTATTAATTCTGTCATTAAAACCTTTTTTCATTTCAACTTTTTTTGTAAGATTTTTTTTTTTGAAAGTAGGCTTCACACCCAGCATGGAGCCCAGCACAGGGCCAGAACTCACAACCCCGAGATCAAGACATGAGCTGAGATCAAGAGTCGTTCACTTAACTGGGCCACCCAGGTGCCCAAGAGATTTTTATTTTTAAGTCATCTGTACACCCAAAGTGGGGCTCGAACCCACAAGAGCCTCATATTCCTTCCACCGACTGAACCAGCCAGGCGCCCCTAAACTTTTTAAAAGAATTTGATACTGGGGCGCCTGGGTGGCTCAGTCAGTTAAATGTCTCACTTCAGCTCAGCTCATGATCTCACAGTTCGTGGGTTCGAGCCCTGTGTCGGGCTCTGTGCTGACAGCTCGCTCAGAGCCTGGAGCCTGTTTCAGATTCTGTGTCTCCCTTTCTCTCTGCTCCTCTCCTGCTCACGCTGTCTGTCTCTCTCTGTCTCAAAAATAAAATAAAAACTATTTAAAAAAAAAAAGAATTTTGACACTGTCAGGATGCCTGGGTGGCTCAGTCGGCTAAGCGACCATCTCTCCTGAAATCATCCACTTAACATCCACAAGGGCTGTTTGTTACACCTGCCATTACTGGTACCCAGCACATAACTACAGCATAATAGATATTATATATTTACAAAGTGAGTTTTGCCAAAATGTTTTCTAAAGTCCCAGCTGTGTACTCTACAACCAATTAGGTAACCCGTCCAAGCCGCAGTTTGCCCAAGTATAAGATGGGGATAAAAGTAATACCCACCTTGGAGAGCTGTTTTGAGGATTAAATAAGATGTGTTGGCAGAGCCCTGAGCACAGGGCCTGGCATATAATAAGCATTTGAATAATGTAAGCTTAAAAATAAAGGCTGTATCAATTTACACTCACATCAGCAGATTTTGAGCTCTCACCCCTTGGCCCTCCCAACACTGAATGTTCTATTTTTAAATATTTTTGTAGGGGCACCTGAGTGGCTCAGTCGGTGAAGCATCCAACTCTTGATTTTGGCTCAGGTCATAAATCTTGCAGTTTGTGGGATCGAGCTCTGCGTCAGGCTCCACACTGACAGTGCAGGGTCTGCTTGGGATTCTCTCTCTTCCCTCTCTCTCTCTGCCCCTCCCCCTCTCTCTCTTTCAAAATAAATAAATAAGCATAAAAAATAACATATTTTTGTCAAGATTATAGGCCAAAAAAATAAAAATGGATATCGCGGTTTCAAGCCAACTTATATTTCCAAGCCAAGGGGGTTTTTTACTAAAATGTCTGTACCTCGCTGTTCCCTGGAGGACACACCATAAAGTAAGCAAGTGGGCGCCTGGCTGGCTGAGTGGGTGGAGCATGCCACTTCTGATCTCAGGGTTGTAAATTCGAGCCCCATGTTGGGGGTAGAGATTACTTAAAATCCTTTTTTTTTTTTTTTTAAGCAAATATTTAGTGCTTCCTTCCTTGTCACAGCTTATTTGGGGAGAGGGAGTATTTGAGAAGGGGGGTCCCAATGGGCAGTTACATCGTACAAGGCCCCGGGGCAGTTAAATTGCAGGTATTTTTCGTTTCACCCTCAGGTTTTGCCAAAGGCTCTTGCTTGTGCTATGGGAAGACGCAGATCTGGGGCCCATCTCTCCCCAGCCAACCCAGGTGGCTGCCTCTGCCTCGAACGTTTCCAAGTGACGTAGGCCCCGCAGGCCCAGAGCCCCTGCACACTTCCTGTGTGGGGTTCAGAAACTCGCCTCCCCTCCCAGCCTTAGGTGCTTGCTTCGGAAAATGGTGAGTCTCCCCCTAACATGGCTCCCTTTTTCATCCGGGCACTGGGAACAATGCCCTCAAGGTCCTCACCTGCTGCAGGGGGGTTGAAAAAGTCCTCCGGTTTCTTTTTCAGAAGTAATAAGCCACCAGGCTCCGCCATCTTAGGTAGAATACGACGTATCCATCCGGTGAGAGAATAATGCAACAGAAAAACCTCTGGAGAGTTCTGGGACTCTGTCTCCTGTCGGGTAAGTAGGATGGAATGAGAAAGGGGCATATTTCTCCAGACTGTGGGAGGCTCAACAGCCTCCCTTGGTGCTGCCCAGTGGTACCAAGGAGCTTCATTTACCAGAAGATGTAAGGAGCCATTTGCGCTACGTTAGGCTAGGGATCCAAGACTACAGGCTAACCATAAAAGTGTGCTCCAGATGCTTGGAGACGACACGGGGAACATTTGGGTTGGTAGCTATTGAAAACAAAGTCTCTCGGCCTCTAAAGACGAGCTAGTTCGTCAGTGAACTGCCCGGCCCTTAAAAACTAACACAAAAGAGATTAGAAGAGCTCATCTCCACCACTTGTGAGGAGAGCAGAGCGCTGAACCCAAACTGTGGAGGGTATAGCAAGCTTGGTCTCCAAGAGACAAACCGCACCTTATAATTTTCAGTCCTTTTCAGGTGACTAAGAACTTTCAATTAACCTAGTCCTTTTTGAAGCGAGGGAGAATGTAAGTGGAGAAATAACCAAGAGCAATTCCACATCTCATAGGAGATAAGATTTAAGAAAAGAAAGAAAGAAAGAAAGAAAGAAAGAAAGAAAGAAAGAAAGAAAGAAAGAAAGAAAGGGCTGCCATTTGTTAGGTGCCAGAGACTGTACACAGAAAACTTCTTTACACAACTGATTTAATTCTTACCGTCACCATGAAAGGCGACCCTTACATCCCTTATTTTACACATGAAGAAACTGATAGGCAACGATGTTACATGACTTGTTGAAAACCCGCACAGCTGGTCAGGGCTAAAGCTGACCTCGGAAGACTGTCCGTCTAGAAGGCCTGGGCACTTCAAGGCTCCTCGATGCAAAATGGTTCAGGACGGTTTTATTTCAGAGGCCTAGAAAATGCTATCAGAGCCGGGGCTCCTATCTCAGAGGGCCACAGCCACGATGTGTCGCTTCTTGCTTCACTCGGAGTTTCTCAGGCTTGAATGCTCACGCAAATCACCTGGGATTCTAGAGCTCCTGCTTCCATAGGACCGAAGTAGGGATTGCGATTCCGCCTTTTGAGTGAGCTCCTGTGCTTCTAGTCCAAGGAACACATTTTGAGTGTCAAGGGGCAAGGCGCGACTCCTGCAAGGAGATGTCAGGCATTTCCTTTTTTTTTTTTTAATGTTTTATTTATTTCTGAGAGAGAGAGAGACAGGGTGAGCAAGGGAGGGTCAGAGAGAGAGGGAGACACAGAATCTGAAGCAGGTTCCGGGCTCTGAGGTGTCAGCACAGAGCCCGACTTGGGGCTCGAACCCATGAACCGTGAGATCATGACCTGAGCTGAAGTCGGACGCCCAACTGACTGAGCCACCCAGGCGCCCCAAAGTCAGGCATTTCCTAAGATGGGGGTAGGGGAGGCTTGAGAGAGAGCAAGACTGGATATCAAAGTCCCAGGCATCCCTAAAGATTTGGCATCATGAGAATGTGCCCAGTCTGCTCTGGATATAGATGGGCACTGGGCAGGTGGCAGCGTCTCACTTGATGCAGAGGCTGTTGGCAAAACAGAGGTCCAAGTCTCTGGAGGACTTAAAAACAGCATTAGGGAAACTGGTCCTCGTAATGAACCCAAGCTATTGCTGAGTGAGGAGCTCAGTGGAAATGTGACCAGGCTCTTCAACACACAGGGTCTCGTTGATGAGTAATTGGAATTTCAAATCTCTCCATCTCGGGCTCAAGCAGAAAACAGATGGAAAACCTGAACCATCAGACAAGTGGAGGCAGAGATAGAAAGAGAATCTCAACATGTGTACCTCAACAAGAACTTATTTTCCTTCCACAGTCTGAGTTTCAAAACGGAGGCTAGGCTGCAAAATTTGTTTGCTATTTCCCCGGTGGCCCGAAAAGTAGCCTCAACTTTTTCTAACTCTCTCTGTCAAATAGTGAGTGTTCAAGTGTAATGCTAGATGCTTCTTTGCTTTGTTTCATCCCAATGGACCAGGAACTCATGGTCCATACCCGGCAGTACATGTCACTTACCTGGGCTACAGGTATGACTATGGTCCGGGGGTGGTTCAGAAATGGTCAGACTAGACCGCATCACTCATTCTGCTTGGAATTTCAGGTACCCACAACATTGACTAACTCAGTTTTTTTCTTTCTTTCTTATTTTCTAGTTGGCGCTTGGGGACAGGACGGTGAGATATGCTTTCTTTCCTTGTTATGAAATCAGCCCATCAGTCTTTGTTTTTATGAGTGAAACTTTTGCTAGATGCCACCCCCACCCCCACCTACCCCCCCACCCCCATAGACGCAGAGCTCCCAAGAGACCCATTAAAGGTGTTTCTACCACTAGGTCAGTCCAGAGGTAGTTCCAGGAAGAGGAAAGCAACAGAGATCCTAGGAAAAATGAGTTGTAACTATTCGAAAGAAAAAACTTGAAACTGCTCAAATTGGAAGTGCCAAAAGTTTTCATTTGTTTGCATTTCATATTTGATGTGGGATTTTGTAGAGGATATGAACGTATATACGACCATGTGGCAAATAAGCCTCCAGGGGCAGCATCTGGATGCAGGTTTAGAGTCACATGTCCAATGCTCTGAATGTGTGCATGTATGTGCATTCCTGTGTGCACACTCATGTGAGCACGCTTGGCCGGGACTTATTTCTCGATCACAGCGGTAGAGTCAGAAATGTCCCAAAATTGGAAACCTTTCTATTCAATCAGCTTCTCTGAGCTGCATGAGACAATTTTGTGTTTAAAGGTGGCCACTGGCTGGTCTACATTCCTTGATACTGCCTCTTTTGTAATGTTTTTAGACTCTTTTTTTTTCTTTTTTCCCTTGCAGCATGCTTTAACATTACCTTATTTTTTTAATTTTTAATGTTTATTATTGAGAGAGAGAAAAAGACAGAGCATGAGCAGTGGAAAGGCAGAGAGAGAGAGAGAGACACAGAATCCAAAGCAGGCTCCGAGCTCTGAGCTGTCAGCACAGAGCTCAACATAGGGCTTGACCTCAAGAACCATGAGATGGTGACCTGAGCCAAAGTCGGACGCTCAACCAACTGAGCCGCCCAGGCGCCCCTAACGTTACCTTACTGACAGATGAAGTATGTCGAAAGCACTGGCATGCTTCAAGATAACTCCTCTCTTCTGCATGCCATTGCCATTTAAGTTTATTTTTCTTTCTCATCGATTTATGCTCAATACAGAGCTTCACCATTTTTCCCCAGCTTTACTGATATAACTGACATATAACACAATGTAAATTTAAGGTGTCTGATGTAATGATTTGATATTGCAAAATGACTACTTAGAATCTATTTTTGTAAATCGCCATCAATTGTTTAATGTAGGAGGTAGAGCCTAAAACAACTCCCATACAGCTTTGAAGAATCTGGAGATCTGTTGTTTTCTTTCTTTTTTTTATCTAGAAAATTACATTTTAATACCATAGAGAATTTTTTTTTTTAATTTTAATGTTTGTTTTTGAGACAGAGACAGAGCGTGTGCGGGGAAGGAATAGAGAGAGAGGGAGACACAGAATCTGAAGCAGGCTCCAGGATCTGAGCTGTCAGCACAGAGCCCGACGTGGGGCTTGAACTCACAAACCGTGAGATCATGACCTGAGCCGATGTCGGACACTCAACTGACTGAGCCACCCGAGCACCCCAATACCATAGAGAATTTGAAAAATAAATATAAACTTGTCCGTAATCATTTCACCGGTCATCAACCTCACTGACATGTTGATGCAGTCTCAGGATGCAGCTTTTTCTTTTCTTCTCTTTATTTGAGTAGAGTTGACACACAGTGTTACATTAGTTTCAGAAGGTCCTAACCCAGGGGAACAGGGTCTGTTCTTAGTAGCTGATACAAGTGTATGTAGCTAATAGTTGCTTATCATTTCTTTTTCAGACAGTGACAGCTCTTCAGGTAAGAGGATTTTCACTCCACACGACCTCTTTTCAAACGTGAGTCAAAATGGGTATTGAAGACAATCATAGTAATAAACACTGAGAACCAGAGCTACCAGAGGAAAAACACAATGGTCTACAGGTAGGCTCTGTCAGGGAAGAGCTTATGTTTGTTGCTAACCGTTTTGGACCCTTAAGCATACATTCAGGGAAGTGTGGATGGGAGCCACTGTGAGTTCTTGTGTAAGTCAGGAATTCACTTTTAAAAAATTTTAAATGTTTATTTTATTTTATTTTTTTAATGTTTGTTTATTTTTGAGAGACAGAGAGACAGAGCATGAGCGGGGGAGGGGCAGAAAAGAAAGAGACAGGGGCTCCTGGGTGGCTTAGTCGGTTAAGCGTCCGACTTTCGCTTGGGTCATGATCTCGCGGTTCGTGGGTTCGAGCCCCGCGTCGGGCTCTGTGTTGGCTGCCAGCTCGGTGCCTGGGGCCTGTTTCAGTCTGTGACTCCCTCTCTCTCTCTGACCCTCCCCTGCTCATGCTGTCTCTCTCTCTCTCCTAGAAATAAAAATATATATATATATATATATTAAAAAAAAAAAAGAAAAGAAAGAGACACAGAATCCGAAGCAGGCTCCAGGCTCTGGGCAGTCAACAAAGAGCCTGATGTGGGGCTCGAACCCACGAAACTTGAGATCGTGACCTGAGTCGAAGTCAGATTCTCAATGAACTGAGCCACCCAGGCGCCCCAATTTATTTATTTTTAAACATGGGCATTTATTTTATGCGGTTGTCTAAAGCCATTGTTTAAAAATGTTCAAAAGTCCCTTTAAAGACATATTTAAAAATACATTTTTCTGACTTATTGGTGTATCGCTTAAAATAAGCAAGTCACCACATATTTTTAAACCGTTCATGATACTATTACCTTACATAATTTTTAAATTCCAAAACACAAAATATTCACTGTATAACATACTGCTTAGCAATAAGATTAGTTTCCCTCTAATATATACTTTACGTGGATTATTATGCAAAATTATTTAAACTGAACTATAAAAACTATAAAAACTAAAAACTAGTGGGGCGCCTGGGTGGCTCAGTCGGTTAAGCGTCCGACTTCGGCTCAGGTCATGATCTCGCAGTTTGTGGGTTCAAGCCCCGCATCAGGCTCTATGCTGACAGCTCAGAGCCTGGAGCCTGCTTTGGATTCTGTGTCTCCCTCTCTCCCTCTTCCCCTCCCCTGCTCATGCCCTCTCAATAAATAAACATTTTTTTAAAAAAAAAACCTAAAACCTAGAGCTGTAAAAGGAGTTAAAATAGAGCACCATTCACCTCTGAAACTAGCTTTAGAGTTGGTTTTTCTAGCGAGAATTTGTAAAATTTCTTACTAAAATGGGTATTAAAATTTCTATTTCGGGGCACCTGAGTGGCTCAGTCAGTTGAGCATCCAACTTCGGCTCAGGTCATGATCTCACAGCTCTGTAGGTTCGAGCCCCACGTCAGGGTCTGTGCTGAATGCTTGCTCAGAGCCTGGAGCCTGTTTCAGATTCTGTGTCTCCTTCTCTCTCTGCCCCTCCCCCGCTCACGCTCTGTCTTGCTCTGTCTCTCAAAAATAAATAAATGTAAAAAAAAATTTTTTTAATTTCTATTTCAACTCCAATGTATAAACACACATTATATTTTTAAATGAATACAAGTTATATTTAGCACAAAATAAACCACAGGTTGTCCCCCAGACTTCTTAAGAATGTTTCTGTCTGGCCTACAATAAATTAGAGAAGTGAGGCAAATGAGGTGGTTTTTGGTTTGGTTTGGTTTGGTTTGATTTGGTTTGAGAAAAGGGGGTAGAGGGAATGGAATCCAAATATCCTTATTTAATCATTGTGTATCTAGGGGCGCCTGGGTGTTTCAGTCAGTTAAGCGTCCACCTTTGGCTCAGATCATGATCTCATAGTTCATGGGTTTGAGCCCTGTGTCGGGCTCTGTGCTGACAGCTCAGAGACTGGGACCTGCTTCAGATTCTGTGTCTCTGTCTGTCTCTGCTCCTCCCCAACTCACACTCTGTCTCTGTCTCTCTCTCAAAAATAAATAAACATTTAAAAAATTGTGTATCTAGAATTCATTTAGAATTATAGACTTTTAAGTAGGGCAAATATCCTGAGAGCCAGCAGGTAATGTTTATTTATTTTTGAGAGAGAGAGACAGAGCATGGGGGGTGGAGAGCGGCAGAGAGGCAGAGAGACAGAGAGACACAGAATCTAAAGCAGGTTCCAAGCTCTGAGCTGTCAGCACAGAGCCCAATGTGGAGCTCAAACTCACAAACTGTGAGATCATGACCCGAGCCGAAGCTGAATGCTTAACCCATGGAGCCACCCAGGCGCCCCTTTACAGTTCTTTTTCAAACAAACACAGCAAGCAGAGCAAGTAATAATTTACTTTTAAATTATTTTATTTATGATTTCTAGTTTATATAACATTTCTAAGAAATAGTATTGAAAAATTATTTCTAAGACAAAATATTATCAACTATCTACATCATTACACGCAAATCCCAATCATTAGCAGTTAGATAAAACTGAAGAATGACTTCTTTACATCCCATATGATCTTAGCCAGAGAGCTGCCTGAGCAACTGGGTTGGAACTCAGTTCTGTTCTCCATTGTAGCAGGACCGCAAGAAGGAAAAGAAGAAAGCAACTAAGATTTTTCTTAAGCATCTGCTATGTGCCATTCATTTTCACATTCACAATCCATTAACTACTCACAAATACCCTGTGAGGTTGCTGTTTTATCTCCATTTCCCAGATGAATAAACTGAGGCTCAGAGAAGTCAATGACTTGCCATTGGTCACACATCCTAAAGCAGATCTGGATTCAAACACAGGGCTTCTGATTCAGTCTAACACCCCGTCCCTAGCAGTATCCTATGGCAGAAAACCCTAACAAAGAAAAAACTGTCTCTGACCACCTCTCCTCTGTTTCAGCTGCCACATGCAGGCTTAAGCATAACCTAGTGCCGCTCTGTGTCCTGGCCACAAATCTTCCAGAAAACAAGGATGCGCCCCAGCCCCACCTCTCAGGACAGCATGGCCCACTGTGGGGGATGTGCCCCGGGCCACCAATACTGCCTCCCTCTAACAAAAATAATTGAGAGTTGATTATGCTCAGGAGATAGTTCACAATAAAACCGCTGTTTATGGGAAGAACCACTGCCTTAATGTGAGTACAGTTCTTCACATAATTGAAGGGCAATAACAGAGAAGTGGTACAGAATAAAGAGAAGGATATTTGATCTCCTATGAGGGGTTCTGTTCATTATAAGAGAGAACTTCTGAATGGTGAAAAATACGTAAGCCCAAGAGTTAGTAGCTCAAAGATCTCATGAAGACAAGTGAAGGTCTTTATCTCTGAGAAGACCCTTTTGTGTCTAACCAGAATATGGTTCATGCTAATGCAGGACAGTGAACTTGAAGACTGAGAATTTTTCAGCTTTAGGGTTTTAAGACTTTCCACATTCCCATGGATCTGGGGTTAGGAGCCCAAGCTGGTATACCCTTCATGTGATGCATCTGAGCTGCGTGTAGGAGCATACTGGGTGGGCTAAGGACATAACTTACTTTCAAGGCTTGGGGCTCGCTAAAGGATGCGTCTTATTTGGAGGTTCTTGGGGACAGTGTCTAGTCCCACTTGAAAATGTTCATCTATAATTGAAACTTAAGCCAAGGTTATTTTCTTACTGTGCTTTCTTTTTCTCATGTTCTGCAGAAGAGACACCTCCACAGTCAGTTCCACTTATACGTAAGTTTTGCTGTCTTTCATGGATGCCTTGAGGATGCCAGTGGGTGGATAGAGGAGAAGGAATTGGCTGGGAGAGAGTAACCCCAAGAACTGAGGCCTTTCCAATATCACATTTCCAACTTCTCTTTTGGAAACATTCCCCCAAAGGGAATATTTTTTTCCTAGACTTTCCTTTACTTCCATCCTCCCCTTTCTGTCTCTCTCTCCCAAAAATAAATTAACACTAAAAAAATTTTTTTATTTATTTTTTAAATGCTTTATTTATTTTTGAGAGAGAGAGAGAGAGAAACAACATGAACAAGGGAGGGTCAGAGAGAGAGGGAGACACAGAATCCGAAGCAGGCTCCAGGCTCCGAGCTAGCTGTCAGCACAGAGCCCGACGCGGGGCTCGAACTCACCAACCGTGAGATCATGACCTGAGCCGAAGTCGGACGCCCAGCCGATTGAGCCACCCAGGCACCCCTAAAAATCTTTTTAAAAAGGTTCTCCAGTTCCCCTTCTCCTTCAGATCCCCTCTTTCATGCCCCGTAGCCAGCAGAGTTCCCCTTTGACAAGAAAACCCAAGGCCTGGATGACAAATGACCTTCTGCATCTGGTTGGCTCTTCGTTACTAATTTGCCTTTGCCAAAATCTTACTGATTTCTGTCTCCAATTTCCCTTCTCTTCTCTCTCATTTTCCAGGGTATGGAGTGTCCATCTCTGGGGACTTGGTAGAGCTGACATGCCCTGAAGATTTGAGAGGTGACTCAATAAAATGGGAAAAAGATGGTAAAGACTTATCCAATCAAAATGACGAACAGCTACGCCTGGAAGAATTTTCAGAAATGGAAGACAGTGGTTACTATGCCTGCTATACAAGCAGCTCACAAGAGAAGAGCTATCTCTACCTGAAAGCAAGAGGTAACCTGGGTCTCAGAGCAAACACTAGTGGACACTTTAGAAAGGACCATTTCAAGAGGGCGTTCTCAATCATTTCTCCTAACTCAACTCACAGCCCCCTGGCATCTTTATGCTTCTCTTACACTCAGTCTGAGACCTTATGGGCCACACAGTGTCAGTGTTTTCTGAAATCTAGATGAAACACCAATGTGGGGTCATCTGGTAAACTCAGCACTGGATCTAAAACAACAACTTCCCAAGAGACAAGGATTGTGTCATGTGCATTATATCTAATCCAGAATTATGGCACACAGATGTGGGTTTATTCGATGCTTTACCCAGAGATAAATTTTTCAGAAAGATTTGCAAAGCTTCTACAAAAAAGAGTTGGGACACCTGGGAAGCTAAGTCAATTAAGCGCCCAATTCTTGATTTCAGCTCAGGTCATGATCTCAGGGTTTGTAAGATCGAGCCCTAAGTCAGGATCTGCACTGACAGCTCAGAGCCTGCTGGGGATTCTCTCTCTCTCTCTCTTTCTCTGCCCCTCTCCCACTCATGCTCACTCTCTCTCTTTCTTAAAATAAGTAAACATTTATAAGTAAGTAAATAATAAAGTGTCATAAGCTATGGCATAATAACAATAGCTGACATTTTCCAAGTGCTTATTAAGTTTCAAGCACTATACCAAACACTTACCAGGAACTTTGTTTTCATACAACCCTCTCAACAATGATATGAGTTAAGTATTATTTTATTCCCATTTTATACAAAAGGAAACAGAGCCTTTGAGAGTTGAAAACACTTCTCACAATCCTCACAGCTAGTCAGTTACAGAGCTGGGACTTGAACCCAGGGTCGTCTGACTCCAGAGCCTCTATCCATAACCCTCACCCTTTGCTTGTTATAAATTCTGGAAGGTCCGGCTCTGGCCTCGGCAAGCATGTGAGTGGGAAAGGGAAAATTGCCTTTATTTGTTCCTTGCTTGGGTCTACAATCCTGTGTCTTTTTTTCTCGGTGATTTCCCTTCTCCCCCACCACCCCCCTGTCCCCCACAGTGTGTAAGAACTGCGTGGAGGTGGATCTAATGGCAGTGGTCGCAATCATCGTAGTTGACGTCTGCTTCACTCTGGGGTTGCTGCTGATAGTATATTACTGGAGCAAGAATAGAAAGGCCAATTCCATGACCGTGATGAGAGGAACAGGTGCTGGTGGCAGGCCCAGGGGTAAGACCATGGGGTTCAGTTGGAAGAGAAGTCCCACCAGGGGGGACGTCCAGCCTGGGCCAGGATGGGTGGCACCCCCACTGCTAGGCCATGACAGTTCCTATAGAACATTCATTGTGTGGCCCACATCTGGACAGAGGGGTTCACATCTCAGATCACTTCTCTCTTTCCCGTCCTAGAAAAGTACAAAAAGTTTATGAACAGGATGGCTTCCCCAAATGCCTGAGAGCACTGGAGTAACCAGATTCCACTCCTGGCCTGTGGGGACAGAGACTTTGAGATATGAGCACCTGCCTTCTCCCTCCCTTACCCACAGGAAGGAAACATGAATGGACTTTGAGCTGAGCAAAGTCATAAAATGCTAAAGATGAAATCGTTAGGGATGGGGGCGACTTCTGTGCAGGGAAGGGGTGAAGCAGAGGGGGAAGGGAGCTCTCCTGCAGGGTAGGAGGGAACCAGGGATGGGGACTGCTCTTTCCTGGACCCTGAGTAAAGAGTATGAAGGTCGTTAGAGATGGGAAAGAGCAGCAGAGATGGAAAAAGGGAAGACGTGGAGGAGAGAACAGAGGGGTGTGCCATCCCGATTTGGGTCTGATTGCCCCAAGATGGGTGTTCCCTCATGGAAACTAATCCTTCCCCACCCCCTCCCCTGCAGGACAGAACAAGGAGAGACCTCCACCTGTTCCCAATCCAGACTACGAGGTAACAAGGGACAGAGTGGGGGGGAGGGGAGCTTTCTAGGGGAGAAGGGGACAGGTGTGAGGGTCCATCTTGCCTCCCGGACGCTTCCAAGCCCCTCACTCAGAGCTCCAGGACAACCCACCTTGTGCCCACCCCTGCCTCCTTCATGACAGAGCAGGGCCATTTCCAAGGCTGTGCGGCTTCTACAACCACGGCCTGGGGAGGGAAGCAGCCCTCCTCTTTCTGTGGCTTATCCGTTAGCTGGGAGGCAGCACCGGGAATGCCACACCCGCGCCTTCTAACATGACACATTCGGGACCCACGGCCCACCAGCACACACCGGCACCGTCACACCGGCGGTTGAAATACGCAAGTCCTTCACCGGTCAATAGTCCCCAGCTTCCTGCCCAGCCTGTCCGACACACACACTGCTGGGCCTCACAGCCTCTCGCCCGCCAGACTGCCTCCCGATTGGACAACTAGGGAGTCAATGTCTGGCGTAGCAGAGCGTCAGCTGGATTGTTCCGACTGGTGGGTGGTGGGTGCACCACCGATCGTTAAATACTTGGAATATCACACCTGGACAAACTCGACAAGTATTTACCAAGCACCAGCCAAGCGTGTGGCATTCACTTTCACACGAGTGAGTGACTTCATTTAATTCTGAGAGATGGAACTTTAGGTTCCCGTTCTTGAGATGGGAGAGCTGAGTTTTACAGAAGGTGGCAAGTTCAGGTCTGTTACCCATGGGTGCCAGGTTAGGATTTGAGCCTGCCTCCTGGCTCCTAGTCCAAGATTCTTTCCATTGCACTAAAGCTAGATCTTCAGGGGCCCTTCTTTCTTAGGAATGACCTCCTCCCATCCTGCTGACTACCACCTCTCTATTCTTCCCCCAGCCCATCCGGAAAGGCCACCAGGATCTGTATTCTGGCCTGAATCAGAGAGGCAACTGACGGCTCTTGAGGACATTCCCTCCGCCCGGCCCAGGTCTGGTTTCTCTGGGTCCTGTTCTTTCCTGGACCCTGAGTAAATCTTGGACCCCAAGAGAATTGCTCCCCGGCCTTTTGGAGAACTCCCACCCCACAGCCATGTCCCCAGCTCCTTCCATTCTGCCTTCTCTGCCGGCACTCGGTCCTAGAATATCGCTGCCACGTTACCTCGTGAAACATCATGGCTACTCACCCCCTCACACCTGGACGGGCCTCTGGTCCGGGTATTTATTTCTATGATTCACCCCCAATCCCACCCCCCCCCCATCACTGGTTCCTTCCTTCGCTTCCCCTCTTCCTTGCACAGAAGTTGCCCCCACCCCTAACTCATCCATCTACCTTTCCATTTTCCCAGCTCTCTCTTCAGTGACCCTTTGTGGGGACGGACCAGGTAACTGGCCGAGGTCCTGTCCCGTTCGCAGACCCTGGCCGGGAGCCAGCCCTCTGCGCCCTCCCCCACGCCTTCCCTGCAAGCCCCTGGATGCTCCCTTGCGCCTTCATGAATGCGCTAGGCTCCTTGTCAGCTGAGAGAGAAAAGAAATAAAGTGTGTTTGGCTGAAAGAGTTTCTGTCTCTCTTTTCTGGGAGGCCCTCAGAGGCTGCCTGGTTCCCTCAGGTCCTCCCTCCCTCCCTTTGACTAAATCCCCGGCTATGATCTCAAATGGCAAGCAGGTGGGGGCATCATGTGACCCTGTCTTTGGAGAGGGCCTTAAGGAAGAAATAAAAAAGAGAACGAGAAGGAAGAAAAAACATAGTCCTCTGACTAACTTCTCTTGGAGAAAAACATAAGGATGGCAGAGAGTGACTGCTGGCTCTTGGTTGGGGTGGTCGGTTCAGAAAACGGAGGGACAGAAGCAGAAGCCTTCGAAGGCAGGAGAGAGCGGCGGATGGGCAGCGGGAGGTGCTAAGGGGCTTGGGGACCCAGATTTCCACAAGCTGCCTGGGAGAGGAAGCCAGGGTTGAGCTGGGCCGTGGGGAAGGAGGTGCTGTCTAGAGAGCGGCACCCCTCCCTTCACCTTTTGAGATGGCAGCCAGCAGCCAGAAGGCGGCTGCTGTGGTTTGGCTCAGCAGGATGTGGCCTGCGGGGCCCAGGGGGAGGGCCTCGCCCTGACCCAGCACCCTGCGCTCTGCTCGGTCTGCACCTCTGCACCGAGCGGAGGCCGGAGCTGTGACACACCCCAGCGGGCCTCCTTCTCCCTCTCTGTACTCTGGAACCTCCCCGCTCACCACAGGGCTATTTCTGTGTATGGCCGTGACCGAAAAGGCCATTCGCGGTTAGCAGCCTCTGCCACATGCTGTGCCCGCTCAGCTTTGGGCTGGCTGGTCGTCGGTACAGCTTCTCTGGTTTGGTCCCCGGCAAAGCGATGGTTCTTTGCCTCTGTCCGCTCAACACGTAGGCTCACAAGGACACCCCATGCTGCTGACCATCCCTAGCCACTGATCAATAGCCTGGCCCTTCTGTCCCAGGTAGACTTGATGATGGAGAAGGGGAGGTCGAGCCACCAACATCTAGTGAGCACTGACTATGCTCTAGAAATCGCCCTTTATGCTCTCCACGAGTTAGCTCATTTAATCTTTTCGACACCTCAACGAGGCAGATAAGATAGATGCTGTCCTGATGAGGTTAGGGGATTCAAAGAGGTTATTTACTGAAGTTGCACAGCTAGTGAGGGACAGAGCTGGAATGAGCAGCCAGCACTGTTCAACTCCAATGCTCTGAACAGCTCCCGGTGCCGACTGTGACCATGAAAAAGTGCTCACCATTTTCCTGGCTTAAAAGCTCTGTATTTAGGGCACCTGGGTGGCTCAGTCGGTTAAGCGTCCGGCTTCAACTCAGGTCATGATCTCACAATTTGTGGGTTCGAGCCCCACATCGGGCTCTGCTGACAGCTAGCTCAGAGCCCGGAGCCTGTTTCAGATTCTGTGTCTCCCTCTCTCTCTGACCCTCCCCTTCTCACACTGTCTCGCTTTCTCTCTCTCAGAAATTTAAAAAAACAAAAAGAAAATTTAAAAAAAAGCTCTGTATTTAATCATTTAGGTACTTCTTCAGTGAGTGCTTTTCTCCCCACTCACGTGGCAGACCAGCACTGTGCGAAGTGCTAAGGGGATACTAGCACACAGCTTTTGCCTTCAAAGAGCTTGCAATTATATAAGAGCGGCCAAAAATGCAGAAGATTGAACAACAGTAAAACAAATGAGATTAAGCAGCCCTGAGTGCCGCAGACAGTGTTCCCAGGAGAAACAGGGAGAGCTGACGTGGTGGGAAAGCACCACAGAGGAGAAGAGACTCACCTGGGCCTTGAAGGGAAGGATGGGTAGAGCTTGAAGACAGAGGAGAAGACACTCCGCTCACTGAACATGAAACAGGGAACCTGTGAAATAGACTGTCAGCTATTAAACACATTGAACTTACAGTTAAAATCTTTCCACAGGAGCACCTGGGTGGCTAAGTCAGTTGAGCATCCGACTCTTGATTTCGGCTCAGGTCATGATCTCATGATCATGAGATCGAGCCTTGTTTCTGGCTCTGTACTGAGCATGGAGCCTGCTTGGGATCCTCACTCTCTACCTCTCTCTCTGCTCCTTCTCAGCTCATGGTGTGTGTGTGTGTGTGTGTGTGTGTGTGTGTGTGTGTGTCAAAGTAAATAAACATTTAAAAAAAAACTTTCTACAAAGAGAACTCCAGACGAAGAAGACTTCATTAATGAAATCTACCAAACATTGAAGGAAGAAATAATACCAATTCTACACAAGCTCTTCCAGAAAAATGAAGAGGGAATACTTATGGTTCATTCTATGGAGACCAAACTCATCCTGTGTAATGGTTATTTTTATGTCAGTCTGGCTGAGCCACAGTACTCAGATATTTGGTCAAACAGACCTGGATATTGTGGTGAAGGTATTTTTTGGGATTCATATTTAAATCAGCAGATTCTGGCACTCTCAACAATAGCTAAAACATGGAAAGAGCCTAAGTGTCCATCAACAGATGAATGGATCAAGAAGATGTGGTTTATCTATACCATGGAATACTCCATGGCAATGAGAAACAATGAAATCTGGCCATGTGTAGCAACATGGATGGACCTTGAGGGTGTTATGCTGAGCGAAATAAGTCAGGCAGAGAAGGACAAATATCATATGTTTGCACGTATAGGAGGATTAGGAGGAACTTGATGGAGGAACAAGGGGGAGAAGAAGAGGGGAAATGGTGGGGGAAAGGGAGAGAGGCAAACCATGAGAGACTCTTGAATGCTGACAAAAACTGAGGACTGATGGATGTGGGGGTATGAGGGATGGGCATGGAGGAGGACACTTGTGGGAATGAGCACTAAGTGTTATGTGGAAACTAATTTGACAATAAACTATTTGTAAAAAAATAAATAAATAAATAAATAAAATAAAAATTAAAAAAATCAGCAGATTCTGAGTAAACCTGGTTATCCTCCATAGTGTGGATGGGTGAGCCTCATTCAATCAGTTGAAGGTCTTACAGAAAGAGCAGACTGAAGTCCCCTGTGGAAGAGAGAACTCTCCATCTCTAGGCTGCTTTGGGACTCAAGCTGCAACATCAACTCTTCCCTGGGTCTCCAGCCTGCTGGTTTGCTGCCAACTTTGGACTTGCCAACCTTCACAATGCATGAGTCAATTCCTTAAAATAAGTCCCTTTCTCTGTCTCTTCTCTCTTCCTTCTCTTCCTTTTCTCTCTTCCATCTCCTACGTACATACCTTGTTGGTTCTGTTTCTCTGGAGAACCCTAATGACAAACGCTGATATCAAAATCAGACAAAGACACTACGAGAAAAATAAAACCCTGCAGATCAATATCCCTTATGAGTAGATGCAAGAATTCTTCACTAAATTTTAACAAACTTAATCTAATAATATATAAAAAATAAGGGTGTCTGGCTGGCTCAGTTGGGGGAGCATGCGACTCTTGATCTCAGGGTCATGAGTCTGAGCCCCGTGTTGGATGTAGAGATTAGTAAAAAACAAAATACATAAACTCAAACAAACAAACAAACAACAAAAAAACCTAAGGCCAATATCATACTTAATGATGAAAGACAATGTTTCCCCCCAAGATCACAAATAAGGCAAGAATATCCTCACTCCACTTCTATTCAACATGGTGCTGGAGGTTCTAGCCACTGCAACAAGGCAAGAAACAGAAGTAAAATACATCCTGTTTGGAAATGGAGTAGTTAAACTATCTTTGTTTACCAACAATATGATCATCTGTGTAGAAATTCTGACAAACTTTCCCCAAAAAAAAGAAGTTACTAGAATTAATATGTAAACTTAGGAAGTTTTCAGGGTACAGGATCAGTATACAAAAACAACTGTATTTCTAGATAGTATCAATGCACAATTGGAAATTGAAATTTTTAAAATGCCATATAAAATACAATGTTCATAGCAGCACTCTCCACAATAGTTAAAACATGGAAAGAGCCTAAATGTCCATCAACAGACGAATGGATCAAGAAGATGTGGTTTATCTATACCATGGAATACTCCATGGCAATGAGAAACCATGAAATCTGGCCATTTGTAGCAACATGGATGGAACTTGAAGGTGTTATGCTGAGCGAAATAAGTCAGGCAGAGAAGGACAAATATCATGTGTTTGCACGTATAGGATTAGGAGGAACTTAACTGAGGAACAAGGGGGAGAAGAAGGGGGGAAATGGTGGGGGAAAGGGAGAGAGGCAAACCATAAGAGACTCTTGAATGCTGACAAAAACTGAGGACTGATGGATGTGGGGGGGAGGGGGAAGGGCATGGAGGAGGGCACTTGTGGGGATGAGCACTGGGTGTTATGTAGAAACTAATTTGAAAATAAACTATTTGTAAAAAAATAAAATAAAATAAAATGTGATACAGATTCAAAAAAAAAAATACTTAGGGGGTAAATCTGACAAAAGCCGTGTTTGTGAATTGGAGGAGTCAGTATCATTAAGAAGTCAATTCTCCCCAAGCTGACCTATAAATTTGACAGGATCCAGATCAAAAGCCCAGTAGGTGTTTTGTAGTAACTGAGAAGGTACTTCACATGGGACTACAAAGGACCTAGAAGAACCAGATTACTTTCTTTAAAAAGTATTTCAGGGGTGGCTCAGCCGGTGGAGGGTCCATCTTTGGCTCAGGTCATAATCTCATAATTCAGCTCCACATGGGGCTCCACACCGACAGTGCAGAGCCTGCGTGTGGTTCTCTCTCTCTGTCTCTCTGTCTCTCTGTCTCTCTCTCTCTGTCTCTCTCTGCCCCTTCCCTACATGCTCATGGGTGCTCTCTCTCTCTCTCTCTCAAAGTAAATAAATGAATTTTTTTAAAAAAGTTGCATCTCAGCCATTCCACTCCTGAGTATTTATCTAACAGAAATAAAAGCATATGAGGGGCGCCTGGGTAGTGCAGTTGGTTAAGTGTCCAACTTTGGCTCAGGTCATGATCTCACAGTTTGTGGATTCGAGCCCCATGTTGGGCTCTGCTCTGACAGCTCAGAGCCTGGAGCCTGTTTCAGATTCTTTGTCTCCTTCTCTCTCTGCCCCTCCCCTGTTCACACTCTGTCTCTCTCTCTCTCTGTCTCTCTCTCAGAAATAAATAAACATTAAAAACTTTTTCAAAAAGAATTAAAAGCATATGACCACACAATAACTTATATGTAAATGTTCATCATAGCTTTATTTGTAATCGCCCAAACCAGGAAATAACCCAAAAAATTGTCAACAGGTGAATGGATGAACAGCCTGTGGTATATCCATACAATGGAATACTACTAGACAGTAAAAAGGAATAAACTATTGATTGATGCACCAAGATGTATGAATCTCAAAATAATTATGCTAAAGTATAAGAAGCCAGACCAAAAAAGGGTATATGTTACATTATTACACTTTTATATAAATCTAGAAAAACAAAAACTAATCCATAATGACAGAAAGCAGATCAGCAGTTGCCTGGAGGGTGGGGGGATAAGGAGAGAAAGGAGGGAGGGACTGCATGCAAAGGGGCACAAGGAAACTGTTCACGTTGGTGGCTATGTTCATTACCGTTCCAGTGCGGATATTTCACAAGTATACACATACGTCAAAACATCAAATCTTACACTTTAAACACATGCACTTTTTTCATGTGTTTCACGGTTTACCTCAGTAAAGCCAGTTTTTAAAAGCACAGAAAAAGGGAACCAAAGGGACACAAGATTCCAGAAGGGCTCAGGTGGAGGGCAGATTTCTCGATCTTGGCTTCACACTGAAATCACCATAAGCCGTTTTTAAAGTCCTGATGCCTTCACCCAAGATAATCAGAATCTCTGGAGATTCCAAAGTGCAGAGGATTTCCAAGTGCATTCAATGTTGAGAATTGGAGAGAGGTCTCGGGGGGTTATGAGAGCATATGAGGAATACAAGGTCAAGAGAAGTGTGCGGGGTATCGGAAGGGTACAAGCAGTGGTGCCGTCGAAGCCACGGGAAAGTTGCCCAAGGCGGAGGGAATCCAACATGAAAGCAGAGCCAGGTTTCAAAGGACTGCTGTAGTAGGGATGGAAAGGGTAGAAATAAACCATAACCATGAACCAAGCATGTGTAAATTGCAAGTTCATTCCGTCTCTAACAAATTACCATCTGTGTAGAGCTCGAGAAGATAGTGGGCAGAATCACACAGATCTCTGGTGTGTGGCTGTTAATTCTTTCCTCCTTTGGGAACCCTGGTCTAGGAAACTCCCACTCTTATTAAACTGTCCTGAAGTTCTTCCAATTACTCGAACTCTGGGAACAAAAGGAAGGGGTTGCCCCTATGGTGGACAGGAATGAGCATAAAGGACACAAAGGAGTCAGAGGCCTCAGCTCTCCCTCTAAACCAGAGACTCTCTGCACTGGAGGTGCTTCAGAATCACCTGGGGGCCACATTCGTCGCGGGGGGCCCAAGGGTCTATATTTTTAATAAATCTCTCAGGCTCCCAAGGCTTCAGAACCACCACTAAGCACTAGCTGAAGATGACATCTATTGAAAACATCCCAGGCACCTGCCCACTCTCAAATTCCAGCTTTCCAAGTGGGTGAAGAGGAATAATGCATTTTGATCACTGATGAGTTTCTGATGTTAGTTGGTTTCTGATGCAGAAGACAGGGACAGGACGGCACAGGGACAGGTTCTGAGAAAAGAAAGGTGAATGGTACCTTCTATACAGGAGGAAAGAAAGGGTCTTGAAGGTTGAAACCTTCTTGCAGCTAGGGGCTACCACTCCGTGCGGGTCATAGAGCCAGAGCCAGCCCCTTGGCAGAAGTGGGACTTTGTCATACACGCTCTGCACCTCTTGATAAGAAATAGTCTCCTGGGCCCTTGATGTTTCCACCTCCTCTGCTTACGATGTCATGGAAACTTCTGTGTGGCTAGGTCTCTAAACATAGCAGCCTGCCCTCAGCTGTGGTGAGGAAGCCAAAGCCCTTATGGGGTTGTAATGGGGGGCTGGGGGCAACAGATAGCTGAGGCAGTGTGACGGAGCAGGCCTGCACCCAGGGAGCACCCCCGCCCCGGGCCCAAACACCACTGGGCCACAAGGGGGTGGAGACTGCCATCACACCGTCCATCTGGGGCAGAGGAACAGAAGAAGGGAAGGAAGGACACAGGTGGCCAGGGAGGGCAAGGGCCCAGCCGAGTCAGGACAAAACCCGTGCCTTGCCCGACAGTCTGGAAAAGTCCAGGCACCTGCTGAGTGAGAGAAGACATCTTTATTGGCCGAGCAAGGAAAGAAGGCACAGTCGATAGCTGACACTCCTAGAAGCCACCAGCCTCAGATTCACTTCTTCCGAGACCAGTTTTCGCCAAGATGACTGTACTGGGCATCATTCCGATCTCGAAGGGGCTAGGAGGTGAGAAGGGGGAAGAGTGAGGCAGGCAGGGTCAGGATTCTCCCAGAGAGGACCCCAGCAGACCCCAAAGATGACAGCTCCTGCCTGAGCTTTCCAGCCCCCACACTCCCCCCCAGTGATGAGTTGCCCACCAGGACCCTTCATCCATTCACAGAGCACGTAGCATCAGCCTCCCCATCCCCCCAAACTCTCCCCCATTCGTGGCTCTTCTCCCTTCAGGGCTCACCTGGTAGAGCTGGTCATTTCCCAGGAGAGTTTGAGTGTCAGCGGCTAGAAGAACAGGAAAAAAGAGTCATCAGAAGCCTAGGAGGAGGGGACTGTGAGACCCCACGAACACTGCAGGACATCCTTGGAAGTCTGCATGAGTGAGCCGGGCACAGGTCTTCCCGGAAGCAGGCTTAGGAGTCCTTGAAAGATTCCAAGGGCAGCTCCGGGATGAGACACAACCCACGCCAGCCCCATGCTTAGCCGGGGCACACTGACACCCACAACATACATGTGCACATACGCATGCACACTTTGTCCCTCCTACTTACCCTTAGAGAGCCTTCCAGTCTCGTGTCCCGCAAAGCAATAGACCCCCAAAGCGAGGAGAATTGTGGTGATTATGTCCGTGATGATGATGCCAGCCAGGGTGCCTGAGTCCAGCTCCACACAGTTCTGACACACTGTGGGGCGGAGAGGAGGCCTCAAGACCAGGGAACGATCTCTGCCTCCCTAGGGTACCCCTGAGATCTCCCACACCAAGACCCAAAGTTCGGTAAGACCCTTGGAGAAAGCCCTGCTGATGCCCCTGCTACATACATCCACCTCTACCTTTTATCCCAAGGAATCCCTGAGGAGAGCCAAGAAGTAATGTCAGCTTTGTAGGAATGTAAACAAGGTGGCAGGCCAAACCTTTCTCCCAACCAAGCCTCTACTGCTTGAGTCACAAGCCCCTACTATTTTTTCCCATCAACTAAGCTCTTTCTCACTCCGAGGTCTCCAAAGTCTGGCTCATACTATTACAAGAGTGACCCAAGTTCATTTGGAGAACAGATTGGACCACCATAGTCTCCTCTGGCTATAAAGTTCTTATCCAGAGGTCCTACCCATTTCACCCCAAAGGGTCTGGAAGGCACGTACTTCGATAATATACTTGCATAAAGTGTATTTTGTCTTGCTCTTCTTTCCTCTTGCACGTATACACTCCTCGTGGGTCCAGGATGCGTCTTCCCAAGTCCAGATTTGTATCGTTTCGAAGCAGTGTTCCCGTCGTTCCCTCCATCCATATGATGCTGGTGTTACAACTCAATAACACCTTGTCCTCAAGCTCCTCCACAGATATCTTGTAGGGACTCACTCAGGGGGGAAAAATACCATGACTGGAGTCAGCCATTGGATCTCTAGCAGATGCCTTATTCTGCTGAGGCTTATACTTAAAAAGGATCACTTTCAGGGCACCTTGGTGGCTCAGTCGGTTAAGCATCTGACTTTGGCTCAGGTCATGATCTCGCGGTTCAGGAATTTGAGCCCTGCATCGGCTCTCTGCCTGCTTCAGATCCCATGTCCACCCCCGCCCCACACCTCCCCCACTCACACTCTTCCTCTCTCTCAAAAATAAATAAACATTAAAAAAGAAAGAAAGTCAAAGGGGAGTGTAGACTGCGGAAGCACCCAAGAAACACGGAAGGCCAAAGAATGTTCCTTGGCTGGAGATGTCCACATTTGTTCCCCAACAAAACTTCTAGTATTACAAGGAACAAATAGAAGTTGAATTGGGGTAGGGGAGAAGCTGGTATGAATTACCAGCCCAGTGATCCAGAAGGAGACCCAGGGCAAATCCCATGTAGAGATTTTTAGTTTTTCTACCCTTGCTTAGGGGGAAGGAGAAAGAAAAATAGTTTTATCAAATTCATTCTTGGAGCTCCATACAAGACAAGTCTGGTAGGGCGTTTAAAGGCTGGAAGTATATGTACAGCGCCTTTCTAGATCCCCTGAATTGTTTTAACTGAGAGCATTCGGGGAGGGACAGACACATCAGATGCCTCACATCCTATAGTCATGTCTTCCATGGGGAACTGGTTTCCAGTGGAAATCCGGGTGTCCCAAAGCATTTGTCCCAGTTTGCCTGAGTCTGAGAGGGTTTCTAGGGCAAGGGACTATAGGTTTTAAAACCAGGCAAATCAGATGGGTTGATGAGCCTACTACCCTAAATCTACCCTCCTTCCTGTTCAACCTGAAGTTGACTTTTTCTTTAACTCTTTCTCTTTAACTTTCCCTTGAGTGCTGGGTCACGCGTGGCTCTTGGTGGTGACAAATGATGGCCCAATGAGTAAGAGCCCTAGACCCCAGAGACCCTCTGTCTTAGAAGGAGTAAGACTCCCTTACCAGCCCCAGGCCCAAGACCCTGCAAACCACAGCATTTCCTGCAGATCTCTGGCCTAAGGCCTTTAGAAAGACATTCAAGGGCAACATGCATGCCTCTCTAGAGTCAGTCAAAGCCAAGAGCCTGTTTCCCAAACCCAAGCCCTGTGCTGCATTCCAACCCCGCTCTCCTTGACAGCTCTGCCTTGTGACTCAAAACTGGCATTGAGAAGGACTTTCAAGTGGAGCTCACTCCAGGTGGTAATGTCCCTCTCAGGTCCCTTCTCCAAGATGCCCCCACCACCTAGGGAAGCCTTACCTTGGGAGAGAAGGACAGCCAGTATCAGGCCAGCCAGAAAACTGGAGTGCTCCATTTTCCAGCAGAATTCATTCAGCAGATAGCCCCAGGTCTCAGAATGATCAGCCAGGGTGAGAGAGGATGCCCTCCCCTAACTGACTCATGGGTACCCGGAAAAAGTCAAGAGGCGGGGGAGGAACTAGAAAAGGCTTATTTCTCTGCTCTCTGCCGTTGGTGATGGGAAACTGTTAGGTTAGGGGTAGACCGGGGGTGGGGTAGGAAGGAAGCAGGTGCAAATTGCTCTTTCTCCAAACAGTGAGCTTGGGGGTGAGGTGGAAGGGAGAGCAGAGACTATGGAAAAGGTTGCCTAGACCTCCAGGAAGTAAAAGGAGATTTAGAAAGCTCTTTCCTGCGTCACTGGTGAAAAACAATAATTGCGGAATTTCTGTTGACAATATAACTGCTTTCACTCACCACCTGAAAACTACGAGCTCTCAAAACACTTGAGAGAAGCTGTGAGCCCCATCCCATAAGCCATACCAGAAGCTTCCTCCCATTGCTGGGCTTTCTTGGGACCTTGCCCAAGGTCCTTCTTGAGGAGCCTGGGATACCAGACTAAGTAGAAGTAGCTTCTTACCAGGAGTAAGGTTGGGCTTTGGAACCCCCCCCCCCACCGCCCCCAGCCAGACACTTGAATCCCAGTTCTAATACTCCCTACCCACTGGGCCTGCGCCAGTCATGGAATTTTTCAGAGTTTATTTCCCTCAGTATCACGATAATGATTTGGACAAAAACTTTGCATGGTGCCTGACACATAGTATTTGCTCAGTAAGAGGAAGTTATTAATAACAATATGATTGACTCAGGCAGAGCGAGCCTCCCCAGGACCCAGGTGGACTTTTCCCCCTGTGGCTTCTGGGGATCCAAACTCTCTACATTGCCGGAGTTGGACTATAATTTACCTGAGGGCAGAGATAGCATGAGTTTTGTTGTTACCTTCTGTACCTCCAACACCTGGCTTGTGGCCGGCATATAACGAGATCTCTGTACATGTTTGTGGACTCACAGACTGGACCAGCTGAGGGAGATGAACCCTGACATTCTGGAAACCCAGCTCAGGCTCTGGCCCTTGGAAACATATGGCCTGTCTTACTGCAATTATTCTTCCTACTCTCTTCCAGGCAGACACTTTTTTAGGGATGATCTTGTCTCAAAAGAGCAGTGAAAAGTTCCTGAGCAAGGGCTTGGACTGAGGTGGGTTCGCGTTCTGACCTGCAGCCCTGAGCACTCGAGCGTTCCCACCTAAATTCCTCAGTTGTAGCAACAGCAAAGAGGAATGAGCAACAACTGGCTGAGATCCTACCAACAGGTTGTGGCAGAGACGTTTACCTCTCTCACGAAGTAAGGGGCCCCGGCCAGCGTCTACCCAGAGCCCAAGGGATTTCCCTATGCAAGCTGTCCATGAGATGGGGATCCAGCACTCTCTTCCTCTCCCTCTTGCCACATCCCGCTCTCCACCCCTTAACAGAAAAGCAAGGTACATCTGCACCTGCGGCCCTGCTGAGGCCCCCTTCTGCCCACATTTCAAGCAGAGGGCGGAGGCTCAGATTCATGCTGTCTCTCAGGGGCCCCAGCCTGAAGGATGTTGGGTGGAGCTAGACTAGCTGCTCAGCAGGCTAGCTGGCTTCTAGGAGTTGCTTAGTGCTTCTGCAGGGATAAGACAGAGACTGACATGGAGCAGGGGAAGCATCTGCCTGGCCTCATCCTGGCCCTCACTCTTCTTCAAGGTAAGGGGTTCTGGCAGCCTGGAGAAAGGCTCAGGGGAAGAGAATATTCGGATTTCTAGCCTCAAGCCCACCTGAGCTATCACATTAGAATTCTAAGAAAGAAGGGCAAAAATGAAGCCTCTTACTGTTGTTTACCAGAGAGAAGTGGCATCCCGTGGTAGATATGGAGTCTTGTCTCTTAAGAAATGAAAATAGGAGACTTTACAGGCTAGAGAGAGGACCCGGATGCCGCCATCTTAGGTTGAATGCAGCCCAAAAGGGCACAGGGCAGAAGTCCGAAAAGAAAAAGTATGTGTTCCTTAACTCAGAGCTGGAGTTAGGAACAGACAGACCAATAAGGCATTTGCTCACTCAGTTGGTCAGCTGGTCAACTGGTCAAGGATTTATGAGTGTGATCCTATTACATAACAGGCTAGAAGGAGGTAAGGATGAATAACAACCTCTTCCCCTGCGAGCTTATAGTCTAACTGGAGAGATAAACTTCAGGGTCACCAGATTGAATGTAAGGTGCAATATAAGGTGCCTCTATGAACATGCAGTTGGAAATAAACAACAGGAAGTAGATGAACTGTGTCAGTGCCTGGAATCAGGACTAGAGATGGTTCTCCACATACTGGGGGCGGCTAAAACCACAAAGGTTGTTGAAGTCACACACAAGTACTATGTGAGATCCCCAAAAAAGAGTGGCTGAAGATGGAAATAAGATATTAACTTTTAAAGGGTCATTAGAGAAACACATCTCAAGAAGACATAAGAGATGATCAAAGAGCTAGAATAACCAGATGAGTGCAATACCATAGAAAACCAGGGAGTAATGAGCTTCCAGAATGAAAGAATCACCAAGAGTATGAAATATTATAGAGAGGTCTTCTGACAAAATACATTTAAAAGTTTACATCTGTGGTATCTGGCAAAATAAGGAAGAACCATGCATGATTTATAACAGTTTCAGAGGGGCAGTATGAGTGGAAATTGGATAGAAAGATGTAGAAGAGGGGCACCTGAGTGGCTCAGTCAGTTGGGTATCTGACTTCATCTCAGGTCATGATCTCATGATTCATGGGTTCAAGCCCTACATCGGGCTCTGTGCTGACAGCTAGCTCAGAGCCTGGAGCCTGTTTCAGATTCTGTATCTTTCTTTCTCTCTCTGACCCTCCTCTGCTCGCTCACTTGCTCTCTCTCTCTCTCTCTCTCAGAAATAAATAAAACATTTTTTAAAAAAAAGAAAGATGTAGGGGCACCTGGGTGGCTCAGTCGGTTAAGCATCCGACTTCAGCTCAGGTCATGATCTCGTGGTCCGTGGGTTCGAGCCCCATGTCAGGCTCTGTGCTGACAGCTCAGAGCCTGGAGCCTGCTTCAGATTCTGTGTCTCTCTCTTTCTCTCTGCCCTTCCCCTGCTCACGCTCTGTCTGTCTCAAAAATAAATAAACATTAAAAAAAAATAAAGAAAGAAAGATGTAGAAGATAAAGGGCAAGTGATAAAGTGCACCAAGTACAGATTATTCCTTAAAGATGTTTGGATGAGAAGAGTTTAAGTGGTAAGTAGAAAAGGAAATAGGGTCTAAGATTAAATATTTTTGAGTGTGAGAGAAATTTGAGCACATTTCTAGGCTAAAGGAAAAGATAATAGAGCAAGATCCTGGAGTTGATGTTGGAAGGATGGAGTCAAGAGTGGGCTGAAGGACTCAGAGAAGGCAACCTTACCCTCTGAAATGAGGCGGAAGGAAAAGAGCTTTGGCCATTGGTAGCCATGTAGATGGAAAGGAAGCCAGAGGTCATTACGGCATCTATGTTCTCAGTGAATGAAGTAGAAGGCAATGCCATCTCCTGAAACTGAGCTGGCTGATGGCTGAGTGGGGGACTTGAAGAAGACAGCGAGAGTTTAGAATGATTTCAGTGGAGAATGGAAGAAGAGCCAGCTAAAGATGACACAGGTTGAGGGGTAAGGCTGAAATCCTGTGCGAGGCAGCTGGATAATAGCAAAAAGAGCCCTGGGCTCAGCAACAGAAACGAGCTCTGGATCCAGCTCAGCCACCAGTGAGCAGTGTGAACTTGGACAATGCCTCCTTTCTGGGGCTCTGTTCTCTTACTAGTCAACCTAGGAAATGTGACTACGTGAGCTCTCAAACCCTAAAAAGGACTAAGACTCAGAGAAGCAAAATTAAAAGATGTCAGCAATCACTTGGATCCTCTCTCCTATAGAATCTGAGTTAGAATGAAGGACTTCTTTGTCCCTCCCATGGTGGCCAGGTGGTCAGGAAGAATGGCTAGCAAGAAATCTTCTTAATAGTTTGTCTTGCTTTCTATTTTTCTTTTTTTTTTTAATTCACTCATCCATCCATTCATGCACTCATTTAACAAATATCAAGCTCCTACCATGTTCCACATTCTGTACTAGGCACTAGTACTAATTGGTTCAGGGGCGCCTGGGTGGCTCAGTCGGTTAAGCGTTCAACTTTAGCTCAGGTCATGATCTCATGGTTCGTGGGTTCGAGCTTTGTGTCGGGCTGTGTGCTGACAGCTAGATTAGAGCCTGGAGATTCTGTATCTCTCTTCAGATTCTGTATCTCTCTCTCTCTCTCTCTCTGACCCTCCCCTGCTCACACTGCCTCTCTCTCTCTCTCTCTCTCTCAGAAATAAATAAAACATTTTAAAAAATTTAAATAGTACTAATGAGTTCAGTCCTGCTAGAAGTTCTAAAACAGCTGACTTCTTCCAACTGTTTCCCATCATATTTTTTTTCTCATCGTACTTGGATTCACACCATCTGTCCCCATCACACGCTCTACCTCTAGACACACAACCTCTCTGTCCTTTTCCAACATGTGTCTTTGCTCTGCTATTCTTTTCTCCAGAATTCTCCCCAGAATACTCTTCTCTGTCTAGTGAATTCCTAATCATTCTTCGAGGCCCAACCAAATGTCACCTTCTCCTCTAAGGTTTCCCTGTCCCTCACTCTTGGGCAAAATCAGTAGCTTCTACCCCCTTTCATATGCATTCCTATAAGTACTAAAGATGATTTATAAATTCTATTTTTTAAATGTTTTTTATTTATTTTTGAGAGTCAGAGAGAAATAGCATGAACAGGGGAGGGTCAGAGAGAGAGGAAAACACAGAATCTGAAGACAGGCTCCAGGCTCTGAGCTAGCTGTCAGCATAGAGCCCAACGCGGGGCTCGAACCCACAAACCGCGAGATCATGACCTGAGACGAAGTCGGACACTCAACCAACTGAACCACCCAGGCGCCCCTAAATTCTATTATATTAACTACATACATGTTTGTTTTTTCTACTTCATTGTAAACCTTTTGGAAGCAGCAAATTAGTTCTTGTATTGCCACTCTTTTTTTTCCACACTGATATGTCAGGTACATAACAGTGCTTAGTAAATGTTTGGATTAAATTCAGTTGAGTTGAATTCCAGTGCTAGTGCTCTGTAGTACATCTACCATACAACTCCTGAGTTTTGAGACAGATCTGAGGGCTATTGAATACCTACCTCCCTTATGACATCCAGGGTTTCTACAAAAAATGAATCACCAAGGCTAAGGATTCTAGAAATATGTACTTTAAAAAGTCTTTACTTAGTGTAGGAGCGGATGGGTGGCTCAGTCAGTTAAGCATCTGACTCTTGATTTTGGCTCAGATCATGATCTCACAGTTCATGGGACTGAACCCCAGGCTGGGCTCCATGCTATTAGTGCAGAGCTTGCTTGGGACTTTCTCTCTCCCTCTCTCTGCCCCTCCCCTGCTCACTCTTTCTCACTCTCTCAAAATAAATAAATAAATAAGCTTTTTTTTTTTTTAAAGGTCTTGGGGCACCTGCGTGGCTCAGCCGGTTAAGTGTCCGACTTCGGCTCAGGTCATGATCTCACAGTTTGTGGGTTCGAGCCCCGTGTCAGGCTCTGTGCTGACGGCTAGCTCGGAGCCTGGAGCCTGTCTTCAGATTCTGTATCTCCCTCTCTCTGAGACTCCCCTGCTCACACAGTCTCTCTCTCTCAGAAATAAAACATTTAGAAAAAAAAGGTTCTTTAGCTGGTGTAAGCCTAGTTTTTGCCAGAACTTTAGCTGCTAAAAAAGCAGAACATTCCAGACTATACAGGCAATACTCTTATGTATATTGCAATACCGTTCTGCTGCTAACCATCCAGAGTTAATATCAGACCACTGGTTAAGGCACTGTCCCCAACAAGACTGCCCTCACTTTAAATTCCAGACACAAGTTCAGAGGTTCCCATACCATCTACGGTTCTGACAAACTCGGTACAAATCTGGAGGGTTTCCCAGATTTGATAATATGTTAGAACAACTCATGGAACTCAGGAAAGTGCCATATTTACTATTACAGTTTTATTATAAAAAAAATAAAATTGGGATTTTCCATGAAGAAGCACATAAAGTAAGGTCTGAGAGGGCCCCAAACACAGCACTTCTGTGCCTTCTCCCTGTGGAATCAGAATACATCACCCTCTTTGTATGCAAATGAGTTCACCAACAAGGAAGCTACACTGAGGTTTTGGGGGTTTTTTTCAATTTATTTATTTGCAACAGAGAGAGAGTGTGTGAGCATGGGAGAGGAACAGAGGGAGAGAGAGTCTCGAGCAGGCTCTCTGCTCAGCACAGAGCCTACCTAACTTGAGGCTCAATCTCACTACCCTGGAATCATGACCCCACCCCAAATCAAGAGCTAGACGTTCAACTGAATGAGCCACCCAGGTACCTCTGCACTGAGTTTTTATTGGGATTTCGTGACACAGGTGTATAATTGATTGAATCATTGGCCATGTGATTGAACTCACTCTCCAGCCCCCTTTCCTTCCAGAGCTCAAAGTCCTAGATTACATGGCTCTTGACTAGCCTCATCCTGAGTCATCTCATTAGCATAAATTCATATACGGTCCAAAAGCCCACCAAGAATAACAGACAATCCTATCACTCATGAAATTCCAAGGCTTTAGAAACACCCTCCCAGGAATTCAGCACAAACACCAGACAAATTATCATACAGCACCCTCAATTCAATTTGGTGACTTAGGCTACAACTCAGTGAAGTAAGTATAAATATGTGTCCACTCTCATAGATTAAGATCTCTCTCTATCTTGGCCTCGAATGACCATGGAAATGCTACCTCAGGGCATCTGAACAACTCTAGCTCAGCTAATCCTCTCTCTCTCTCTCTCTCTCTCTCTCTTCTATCCCTACAGGTACCATGGCCCAGTCGAAACAAGGTAGGGTGTATGGCTTCTTTCTATCCTCAAACTCTGAGGAAATTCATGGAAGTATGGCTCCTAGCGTAGTGGTCCTACCGGAGTGAGTGACAGAAGGGATGGGATGATGAATAATAAATAGCAAATCTCCCGTAGTCAACCAGATGAGTAGCCAGTCATGACCATTCTGGGCAGTATTCCTGTAGCTAAGCGATTAATTCTCTAGTTCTTGGAGTAGAAACAGGACGCTAGCAGCTAGGCACTATTCAAAGTGGGACCCATGAACCAACAGCATTAGTTGCCACCTGGGAGCATGTTAGAAATGCCACATTTCAACCCCTTCCCGGAACTACTAAATGCAACCTGAAATTCTAATTAGATCCCCATGTGGTCCATGTGCACAGTAAAGTTTGAGAAGCACTGCTGTAGTAATGGTCTTGTCCTGATCCCCCGGGGCAAGGAGAATTTCAGAGGAAAAAGATCCTTAACAGGCCATGGCTTTTCCCTTTTCAGAAATTCCTGTGGTAAGAGTAGATGGCAATCGAGAAGATGGTTCTGTAGTTCTGACTTGTGACTTAAAAGATGAAAATCTCAAATGGTTTAAAGATGGGCAGGAAATAAATCTCCACAAAAAGAATAAAAATATACAGAACCTGGGAAGCAGTATCAAGGACCCTCAAGGGATATATTGGTGTCAAGGATCCAAGAACCATTCAAGACCACTCCAAGTATATTTCAGAAGTATGTAATCCCCTTCACTTTGTTTGTTGTGCAATTAATCAGTGCTTGCTGTTGTGGTGAGCTTCCTGCCCCAAGTGAGTATGGAAATAGACACTAAACAGCTCTCGTTCTCTTAATCTCAGCTTGCCTCTTTTTGAATATCACAAGATAGTTCCCCCAATCTTCTTGGAAAAGCATAACCGGTCCTATAAAGCCCGGATTGATTTTGGATGGGCCCCCACGGATTGGGGCGGTCAACTATTACTGCTATAAACTGAGTTGGTGTCGCTAGGGGAGACAGAGGAGATTACATGGTGAGCAAGAAAGAAATGTAGAAGGCAGTTGACCACGGAGAAGAGGATCTGATCTTCCTTCTATTTCATATAGTTCCTGGTGGTAAGACTACATGGGCTTCCCCAGGACACCTGGGGCACGGAAGGATATCAAGAAGTATTGTGTTGTTAAGTGAAGGGATCTTCCCAGGCAATTCCCTTACCGTACCATGCACAGAGGAGTCTGCTACCCTGAATATAGGCATTATCGCTTGTAGACAAGAGAAAAAGATTCAGAAGAACCACTTTCACACCCTGAAGGAGGCTTGTCCTTCTCTTTCCCCACAGTGTGTCACAAGTGCATTGAACTAGACGCAGCCACTGTATCCGGCTTTGTCTTCGCTGAAATCATCAGCATTTTCCTCCTTGCTGTTGGGGTCTACTTCATTGCTGGACAGGATGGAGTTCGCCAGTCAAGAGGTAAAAAAGAATGTTCTTGAATGAGAGATGAGACCACCCAGGACCCTCAGGTTCTTTCCTACCAACATAGGCCCAATAGAAGAGGCAAGGTAGGCAGGCATTGAGGATGCACACAATTGGGTGAAAAGGACACTGTTGTTTTCACAGCATACATACCTGTCCCAGGATCCACCTCCCTCTGATTTTCCTCCTTGTTTTCAAAAACTCTTTATTGTAGGAAAACCTACATACTGAAAAATGCATGAATGACAAGCATACAGCTAAGTAAAGCAAACCCACTCATGAATCCAACACCCAGTTTAAGACAAAGACTATTACCGGGGCGCCTGGGTGGCTTAGTCGGTTAAGCGTCCGACTTTCGCTTAGGTCATGATCTCGCGGTTCGTGGGTTCAAGCCCCGTGTCGGGCTCTGTGCTGACTGCCAGCTCAGAGCCTGGAGTCTGTTTCAGTCTGTGACTCCCTCTCTCTCTGACCCTCCCCTGCTCACTCTGTCTCTCTCTCTCTCCTAGAAATAAATAAAACATTAAAATAAAATAAAAAAAAAAAAGACAAAGACTATTACCAAAACCCTGGAAGCCTCCTCCGTGGTCAATTCCAGCCTTTCCTTAGCCCTCAAAGTGGGCACCATCCTGACTTCTAACAACATTGATTAATTTTGCCTGGTTTTACTCCTTATGTCGGTGGACTTATACAGCAAGTACTCGTGTGTGTTTCTTTTACCACAAAACATGCTTGTGAGATCTATCCGTGTTCTCATATGTAGATGTACTTCACTAATTCTTACTGCCACCTAGTACTCTAGTGTGTGAACAGAACCCAATGTATTAGCCATTCTACCTTGCGTATTTTATTTTTTGTGCAGCTTCAGACAAGCAAACTCTGTTGTCCAATGACCAGCTCTACCAGGTAAGCGAAGGGGGAATGAAAGAGACATTGCTACAATTTGGGGTAAAATTTGGAGACGGGGGCAAGTTATCTGGAGGATACTATACAGATAAGGAACCGCTTAGGGCATACCAGATGATTGCATAGTTACCCTTTGAGTACAATGGGTGAAAGAAAAAGAAGGGTTGAGAAAGACTGAGGTAGGATCTAGTGAGAAAAAGTTGAAGAACACAGAGAGGGACACACAAAGAAACTATATACAGAGCCTCCCTTCCCCCTTTTCCTCTCTCCACCCCCAGGACAGGGAAGCACCCAGTCCAAAGCCTTGTGCATGAAAAAGCATTCAATAAATACGCATCAAATTAATTCATAGAGGAGGAGGGAAAATGAGTTTATGACTATGCTGTCATTTTTAGCCCCTCAAGGATCGGGAAAATGACCATTACAGCCACCTTCAAGGAAAACAAGTGAGGAAACCTTGAACTCAGGATTCAAAGTAGGTGTGTCCTTCTACACCAATTCTAAGAAATTATCTTTCCTTTACTGGCCCTTCCAACTGCTACCAAGTCTATCTCCTTTCCCCAAGCAGCTCTAAGCTTAGGGGCGAGCAGGTGACTGATAATTCTCTGTGGTGGGAGGATTGCTCTGTGCATCGTAGGGTTTTTAGCAGTAATCCTGGCCTCTATCCACCAGATGCCAGTAGCACCCCCAGATGTTACAATATAAAATATCTCCAGATAGAGGTGCCTGGGTGGCTTAGTCGGATAAGCATCCAACTTTGGCTCAGGTCATGATCTCGCTGTTCGTGGGTTTGAGCCCCACGTCGGGCTCTGTGCTGACTGCTCAGAGCCTGGAGTCTACTTTGGATTCTGTGTCTCCCTCTCTTTCTGCCCCTACCTTGCTCTCTCTCTCTCTCAAAAATAAATAAACATTAAAATACTTAAAAGAAAAATATCTCTAGATATTTCAAGTGTCTCCTCCAGAGCAAAATCACTCTCTGTTAAGAGCCACTGAACTATATTAACTTTCAATCAATCAATCAGAAGTTCTGAATCAATCAATCAGGAAAAGTTTCTATCAGGAAAACAAGACCCAAGCATTTTTCGATTTTCTGAACCCACTCCAATTTTTCTTTTTTTGATCCAGGTGTCCTTCCTTCTGGATATGTCTCAGGAACAGAGCAATACGTTTTGGAGCACTCCTGACAGAGACTTTCAGCCCTAAATCTAGATTCAAGTTTTCCAAAGGTGACAAATGGAGAAGAAAGGCAATCAGAACAAATTCGGATTTTTCTCAAAATAAAATCAAATTAAAGGACAATAAAAATAGGTACGGTGTTGCAGGAGCGCCACCTATTGGGAGGTTATTTTTCTGTAAAAGAAAATTGAAAAGATCAAATAACCCCCTCTATTTGAATATTATTTTTTAAAGTTTTAATTTTTGTTTACTTCTTGCACGTGTCATAATTTACTTGGTTTAAATATGCAATGAAAGGTCTCCCGCTGCCTCCATCCCCAGCCATTCAGCTGTCCTCTCTAGAGACAAAACAACATACTAGTTTCTTATGTATAAGAAAATAAGTCATCAAGGCATCACAGTAAGTCATCAAGTCTGCTGCTGCCTTGGACACCTATATCTGGCACAAGGTGGCTTCGCTCTTAAGCTGTTCCACCCTCTTGCGGGCTCGCTCAGTACTCTGTGCTGTTCACAGGGTCTCCACTTTCATCCTGAGGCCACAGGCAACGAGGGCCCTGTGGAGTAGTCATTGGGGTCCATCAACTGTGCCTGAGATGGGTGCCCTGTCTTGCAGGGAGTTGCACCTGAAAGTATCGTCTGCAGCAGCAGAAACAGCTGATACAGAAAAGGCCACTGCGGAGGCTCGGGGCAGAGGTCCCTCAAGGGCTGGACCCAGTTCCTGCAGCTCAAGCACTCTAGGTTGTTTCCTATTTAGAAAGGTCTTCCCCATTTTAAGATTATTCTTTTAAGAATGTTTTCCTATGAATTCCTCCAGCATTTTTATGGATTCATTTTATACATTTAAATCTTCGATCCATCTTAAATTCATTTTAAGGCAAAAGCCAAATATTGACTTTTAAACTCTATAGCTATCCACTTATTTCAGAACTAGTTTTCCAAGTTTATTTATTTATTTTGAGAGAAACAGAGATAGCAGGAGAGGGGAAGGGGCAGAGAGAGAGGGAGGGAGAATCCCAGGCAGGCTCTTGATTGTCAGCACAGAGCCCAAGGAGGGTCTTGAACGCATGAACCGTGAGATCATGACCTGAGCCAAAACCAAGAATTGGATACTTAACCGATTGAGCCACCCAGGTGCCTCCAGAACTATTTTTTTGAATGATCCATCTTGTGCCTATTGATTTTAGGTGGTGTTACCACTCCACTTTCACCAGACAAGTACATTCACAGTGTTGTGCAGCCATCACCACTATCCATTTCAACTTTTCATCATCTTAACCTCTGTACCCATTAAACAATAATACCCCATCCTTTCCTTCCCCCAGACCTTAATAATCTCTATTCTACTTTTCTATCTCTATGAATTTGCCTATTCTAGGTACCACATATAAATGGAATTACACAATACTTGCTCATTTGTGTCTGGCTTATTTCACATAACAGTGTTTTCAAGGCTTACCCATGTTACAGCACGTATTAGAATTTCAGGCTTTTTTTTTTTAAGCTGAATAACAGTCAGTTGTATGTATACGCCACATTTTATTTATTCATTCATTTGTCCCTGGACATTTTGGGTTGTTTCCACCTTTTGGCTATTATGAGTAATTTTGCTATGAACATTGGTGTACATGTACCTGTTTGAGTCTCTGCCTTCAATTCTTTGCGGTTTATACCCAAGAAGTGGAATTGCTGCATCATATGGTAATTCTATGTTTAACTATTTGAGGAACCACCAAATTTCCCTGAAGTGTTGCACTATTTTACATTCCTATCAGCAGTGCTCAAGGATTCCTAATTCTCCTCTACACCGAGTATTTTCCTTTTTTTTTTTTTTGTTTTTTGTTTTGGTAATAGGCATCTTCCTAATGGATATGAGGTGTTATTTCATTGCAGTTTCAATTTACATTATCCTAATTACTAACACTGAGGATCTTTTCTTGTGCTTATGGACCATTTGTATACCTTCTTTGGAGAAATGTCGATTCAAGCAAGCCGATTGCCCATTTTTGAATCACATTGTGTGGGTTTTTTGTTGTTGAGTTGTGTAAGTTCTTTATATATTTTGGATATTAATCCTTTATCAGATATAGGATTTATAAATATTGTGTCTCATTCTATGAATTGTCCTTTCGCTTGCACTCTTGAAAAGTATGCTGCTTTCACAGCCTTTGCGTACCTCAGGGTAACCTTGTAGCATGCATACTGTCACTTTACAGTAAGAAAAATAAATCCAAAGCTACCAAATCTTAGCACAGTGCCTGACACCAAATAAGCGCTCAAAACTTTCTGCTATTGTTATTGTTATTGCTATTGTTGTTGCCTCATAATAATAATCTATGAAGAGTAACGGAAGCTGCTTCAAAAAGGCATGATACTGGTGGGTAAAATGGAAAGCAAAAGCCCACAGAGGTTGCCAGCAGCGCCAAAGATCACCAAACCGTGAGCGCGAGCGACACAGCAGACTCTAAAGCCCACCCTGTAGTTCACCAAGCTCCAGGCCCACCCGCAGCCACCGACCTCCCCAATGCTGCTTTTCTCCGCCCCTCCCCCAACCCGGCGGCGCCCCGCCCCGCCCCGCCCTGCCTGGAGCCCAAGGCCACTTCCGCCCCGCCCACCAGGCTGGCGCATGCGCCGTTGAGCTGTTTGCCCGCCAGTTCCCCGCGCAGGGCGGCACACCCTGTTTCCGGCGCCCGGATGAGTTTCCGCAAGGCCCGGCGCCTGGTCATGATGTAAGCTCCGGTTGTCGTGCTGAGTCGGAAGTTGGAACCCTTCGTGCACTAAGACTCCTATCGTGTCGTCGCTGCTGGCCTTTCAGGCTCTGGTAAGAGAGGAAATAGCTTGAGGGGAGGGGATCGTTGAGTCTGCGATGGGATATTTTTCTCCTAGTTCAGTGCCGCTCCAGGCCTCTGCACTTTTGCCTCCAAATTCCTTTCACCTGTGCTTTCCTGACCCTTGACCCTCTCCTTCGTGAACTTCGACTCTGTTTGTTTTGGGACCCCTTTACAGTGCCCCCGGCTTCTGGCATCTGGCCCCCTCTTTGCCCTTCCCTTCCAGGAAAAGGCCAGAATACTGGCCTTGCATTATCTTCGACTTCCTTCCCCTAGAATGAGCGCCGAGTGGGTGGGTCTCCCTCCTTGCTGCGAATCCCTTATGGAACCTGGAGGGATGAAGTGTCAAGCGTGTGACAACCAATAGCCAGTCACCAAAGAAGATACAGTTAAGCACGGGACCCAGTAATCAAACCAGCTGAATACATATGGCGAGATATTGACATTCCTTCAGCCAAGTGATCAGTTCACTACTCAGAACTCTCCTGGCGCTCTGCTTCGTGCTCCCTCAGTAATAGGGGTAGAAGACACTAATAAGAATGAGTAACCACAGCTCAGGATCTTATATTTGATGGGTCTTTTGTTTGAGATCAGTTTTTCACTCCCAGAACAAGGATACGTTTAGTCTCCCTGTTTTGCTCTCACATGGTGGGAGTCCTCCTGAGATAAAATGGGACCCAGGAAAGAATGCTGTGGGCTTTTTAATTTGATAAGATCCTTCTAGCTCGCTGATGTGTTTAGGATCTCTTGCCACGTTATCAGGACCTGAAAGGATTTGGGCGTGGAACATATAACAATGAAAACATTTTAATTCCTTTTTGGTTTAATGGATGTATTACTCACCAGGACAGAATGTGGTTTAGTAGAGCTTGATTTTGCCAATCTAGTTTTACAAAGTATTCTACATATTTCTGTTTAAAAGCAGTACCAAGTCTGATGTTAAAACATTTGTGTGCTCACCTTTTTAAGAGCTGACATTGGTCCTTAGGGTTTAGCAGTACTGTTCATAAACACAAGATTGAATCGGGGTGGAGAATGAGAGGATATTGCAGGACTGGAAGTAAATAGCTATTATAGATGTTGACCCTTGCAGGGAGTACATCTGAGTGAAATGTGTTTTTAAGTAGGACTTAATTAAAAAGGAATCAAATCTGAGGCCCCTGGGTGGCTCAATCCGTTGAGCGTCCAAGTGCCACTCAGGTCATGATCTCAGTTCGTGGATTCAAGCCCCACATCAGGCTCTATACTGACAGCTCAGAGCCTGGAGACTGCTTTGGATTCTGTATCTCCCTCTCTCTGCCCCTCTCCTGCTTGCATTCTCTCTCTCTCTCTCTCTCAAAAATAGATTAAAAAAAAAAAAGGAATCAAGTCCAAAAGCTCTTAAGGATTGGTGGTAGCATCACCAGCAGGATGGTGCTGTATCTCTGTATGGCGACTGAAAACAGAAGATTATAAATAACCTGTGCCATTGAATATTAAAACAAAAAATCCGTGCCATTGAATCAGAGTTTTGTTTTATCAGACCTTTTGGAGTGGGTGATATCTAGGTTCTCTTACATTTGTGAGACCACTGATCATCTCTAAACTGACATCTCTACAAAGACTCCCATCAAGTGATCATTCCTCCTTTTTCCTGTGAAACTTTTCTGTAAGTGGTTACACGGTATTTGCGGTTGGACTATGAAAGTAGCTTGTGCACAGAGTTGAAGTTCATGTGAAAAAGATGAACTTAGGACAGGCAAAAGCCTCTTGGTGCTTCAGAAAGACACATGGCAGAGGTGACAAATGATTTATTCCTGTCTGTACTCTATACATGCCGAGATACCAAAGAACCACAAGTGTCTGGCCCAGAAGCTTGAGCTGCTGCCATGACGCAAGACACATGGCAACGCCCTTGTAGGGCGGTGGGTGCTGCTGTTGGTTACAAAGAAGTCAGGAGCAATTACACGTAAGGTTAAATCATTTAATAAACATGTATTGAGGACTTTGTGATGCTGATCTATAGTGCCAGGCACGGAAGAAGAACTAATCAGATATGAAATTGTGCTCAAATTGCTTCCTGTCTAGCAGTATAAAAGATTTGCGTTAGAAATACAGTATAGAAAGGTATAAATCCTATTAATATAGATAAAATGTAATGGGAAGCTAGCTTCTTTTTACAATATGACAGGATAGTATTGAGAAAGGAGGAAATGCTGCCATTTATTTTCATATACCCTGTTCATTTGTCTTGATAGTCTTAGGAGCCTATCTTTTCATATGCTTTGTATTCTGGCTTTCAGCTTCCTTTCTACAAAC